TAAAAATCATTTTCTAGAGAATTGTAATGTTAAACAATGCGAAACGAGGGTCATAACACATTGTTGTTGAATGCTATCTACTCATTTTTATGAACAGACTTGATAGCTTTGTTTATTAAAAACTAGCTATTCATTGCGTCAACTCATGGCTACTAAAAGTGAGTAATTTACATCAATCAAAATTATTTAATATCAATTTGTACTGTTCTAATAACTACAACATCTGAAGTTATTCACTACAAGTTACCTTCAATGAATAGAGGGTTCTGTCAAGTAATCATATATTTTTATTAATAATATTAGAAAAATATTACTTCAGAAATGATATGAAATCTTTAATATGATTGTTAATTGTAAATTAGGTACTTTTCTTGAAGACCGATTTAAACTGGTAATTCCTTATACTTTGCAAGATATATTCAACAACTGAACAGTAGGTAGTTGAAAAACTAAACATTCTAGCGTATAAAGCTGAATTACTAATTAATTTTAACAAAAAAGCTAGTTTTATGAGTGACATGAAATTATGATTCTTACTGAAATAAACGGAAGCTCGCCTTATTATATTAAAGAAATCAAGAACGAATTAGTCAAATCTAATCACTGAATCAGGTAAAAAAATTTAACATAACAATGTTTAAACCTTACTATGTTCATCTATCAAGTAAATTCAATCCATCTATGTATATTACAGTCATATATATCTGGCAGCTTGTAGTTGATGTAAGATCGACTGGAAAAAATGAAGTAAGAAGTTTTTATAAGTAATTAAGCAAAACAATGTTCTAAAGTTTTGTAGATATTTGATTGCGTAATCGAAAACTATTTCCATTAGTGATTAGTAATCTCTGCTGTAACAAACTTACCAAACGTGTAATTTAAGTCAAATATTAGCGATTACTGTTTGCCAAAAGTTATTATTGTTAATAAGAAATAGGTTTGCAAGGTTTAAAGTTCTAAAATCTATTTATCGAAATTATTTGACACAATTTATACATGAATTTTAATTTCAACTAGTTTTTCAAGTATCATAAAGTTGAGTTTACGAGTAGATCAAGGCTAAACCATCATTATAAACTTAGAAGCACTTGACGGCCGTTTTGTCCTAGTATGGGACTTCTTAGAAGTGCGCATCCAAAAACGCGAGACCTTCGGTCTAGCGCGCGAACACTGAACTTTTAGATCAGTGAGCAGGCATCCAATAGCGTTTATGTTTAAATTCAAAGGATCCATGATTTTGCTCTACCATTCATCCATTGTCGAAAGTAGACTACAAAAGTTGTTGAAACACATACTGATTATTTGGCAAATGAATTTCCATCCTAAATCCTATTTTCTTTTTTAAATTTCATAATAAAAAACATTTTTAAATTGAAAGACGAAAATTGGCTAGTCGAAAAATAATGTAATCTCTGAAAAGTTAAACTAAGTAAACTGATAATGAACAATGCTGTTTTCATGAAGTGCATTGATGCATATTTTTTTGATTTTCTGTTTCGTCTGAAATAATATTTTATCTTCATTAGTATTATATACATTTATTTTCTGAAAGTTAGTTAGTACATAAATTCCACACTTCGTTAATGAATAATAGATCGGGCATAGCGTAAAGAACAATTTTATGAAAAGGTGCAACCGATCATAGAGAAATGCACAGGAAACGACTTGAATATCCTGAGGGTAGACCTGAACGTCAAAGTCAGAATGGAGAACACTGAGTATGTAGATATTATGGAACGACACTGACTGACTGGTAGAAAGGGATGAGATTGGTGACAGATATGTAAATTTATGTGCAATCAACAAAGTGGTTAGGGGCGGCACAATATTCCTACACAAACGCGTTTACAATGCTATATGGGACTCACTGGATCATACTTCACAAGAATCATATCGATCATATTTACATTACTGAAAAATTCAAATTGATGAAGGACGTGAGAAGTTGGAGAGGAACTGACATGGCTTTGAATCAACACTAGCTGGTGGTTGTCGAGATGAAACTGAAGCTAAAGAAGCACTGGACAACTGGAGAAACAGCGTTTCAACGGTTCAATACAACCCCCCTCCGACATACTGATAAACTCAATAAATCTAAGCTAGCTCTCGACAACAGGTTCTGAGCCTTATAAGATCTCTTGAAAGACGAAGGAACCACTATGGAGGACAATTGGAAAGGGTTGGAAGAAGCACTAACTTAAACGTGTCAGGAGGTTATGAGACCTCAGGAAGAATCATCATAAGGAGTGGATTTCTATTGAAACAATGGATAGGATTCAAAAAAGTAAGAACAAGTGGATAGAAATTAGTAACAGTCGAACAAGAACAGAGGAAATGAAGGCACAATCTAAACACATAGAAACAAACAAGTGATTGGAGCGAAGCGTTAGAGGTGACAAGCAAAAATAGGTGGGATAACCGACAACGACAGTGGAAAATGTTGCAACATAAGGAAATATGAAAAGACTATTGGACACAATGACGAATAAACTGGCAGGCAAATATAGTGAACTAGAGAGATCAGTCAAAAAAAAAGAAGGTAAGTCAATCACTGAGATTGAAGAACCGAGAAACAGATGGGTTGAACACTTCGAGGAAATCTTGAATATACCAGCTCTATCGAATCCATCGGACATCAAAGCAGCATACACAAATATTCCTATCAATATCATTCCATTAACGATCGAAGAAATGAGGATGATCGGTCATCAGATTGATCAAGAGTGTGTAGGCAGTAGGACCTAACAATATACCAGCTGAAACATGGAAGTCAGACACAGAAGTAACTGCAAACATTCTCCAGATTCTATTAAGGGTGATTTGGCAGGGAGAACAATTGCCACTGACAGACTGAAAAGAAGAATGTCTCATGAAGACACGGAAAAAAGGAGATCTGATCAAATGTGAGAACCAACTACCGATGTATAACACTACTAGGAAACGTTTTCAATGGATTGTTGCTGAGTTGGATGGAAGGTTTCTTAGACACTCAGCTTCGAGATCAAGAGACTGGATGTCGTGGGGACCAGTCGTGCACAGATCAAATCGTGACACCTCAGATCATTGTTGAATAATCAAATGAATGGAACTCGTCACTGTACATCAAATTCCTTGATTATGACAAGACGTCTGACAGTGTGGATTGTATGACCTAATGGAAACTTATTCGACTCTACAGACTCGACCTACACAAGGATGAATGCACGATCCTCAAATTGATCACGGAAAACACCAACCCAATCACAATTGATGAAGAAAGTCTGGAAGTAGTGTGAGCTTTCACATATCTTGGCAGCACTATCGATAGACATGGAAGATTCGATGCAGTTGTGAATGGAAGTGAGGAAAAAGAATGACATCATTCTGACAGTTGAAGAACACATGAAACTCAAAACAATCGTCAGCCAACATAAATGTCAGAATTTTCAATATATATATATATATATCAAGACAATTTTGTTGTACGGAGCTGAATATTGGAGAACGGTTATCAAAATGGTGCAAGTGTTTATAAACAGTTGTCTAAGCAGAATACTCATTGTCCGTTGGACGCATACATAAACGTTTTATGACAGAGAACATCCTAGTTTCTAACTGAAGAGGAAATTCGCAAAAGACGTTTGAGGTGGATAAGACATACATTGCGGAAATCCTCAAATTGTATCACGAGGCAAGGGCTAACTTGGAATCCTTAAGGTAAAAAGTAAAGAGAAAGACACAAGAACGCATTGCGTCCAGAATCGGAGACAGAGACCAACAGAATGAATAACGATTGGAAACTACCGGAAATGAGAACTCAGGATATAATTGGTTCAAGAATCCTAGACGGCACCCTAAGCTCCATGAAGCGTAACAGACATAAGTATTTATGACTTCGAAAAAAAGTCATCATTCGGTTAAGTTATTTCTCTGACTGCTTCTATGAAAAACTAAGCGATTGAGTTAAAAGATCAACAGAAGTATATTTTGACACAATACATCATATTATCAATTTTTATTTTGTGTTGTGCATGACCATCAGTGAAATTTTGGTTTAAAAGCAAACCACCTATAATCTGTCTATCTTTATTGATTGTGAGATTTGTGGAAGTCGAGATCTAATGAGGAATCGATGAATAATAAATCTCTTTTTTCTTAATACTGAACTCACTGTACGAGGTTATGACAGGTGAAGTTCAATCATGGTGGAAGGAAAGTAGTTATCCACCAATAATACAAAGTAACTTTCATGCTTTATTTCAAAACTGTAAAATATGGAATGGAATTCTAGCTCAATGTTATTCACTCATTGAAAACTCTAAGGTCTCAATTTTCATGTTTGCGCCTTCGTCGTTGATACACATTACTGAAATATTTCATACTCGAATGAAATAACTTTATACTAACTCTGTACAAACAAATTTCTAATCAAAGATAAATCAAAACATCACTTGATTATTATTTTCTTTTTGAAGAATTTTCTATGTTGTCTAAAAAGTACACTCAGTTCTGGTTTAACAAGAATTAGTTATCTTTCTTTTTTACCGTGTTTCTCTATTTATGTCAATGCAAACTGAATTCCTATCATTAAAAATAAATAATTTTAAAAAAAACACACCACAACATAATAAATGTTATAGAGAATAATTACATTTTTTAAATAGTTTGGTTAATATGTGAATTGATAGTTCATCTTTTTTCATCATAGATTGTTGAAAATATCATTATTTCATCCATTTTCTTCGCAGAATAACATACTACTGAAGTAATTTATATCAGTAGTTGTAATAGTATCAAACCTATCTATATCAATTTTGTCTACAATAAAGACATTATACATGAAAATAATCAGAATAAGGAAGTCATAATATTATTGTGATTTTTTCATTTGTTTTTTTAATAAATTAAGCATGTTGAATATGTTTTGTAAATGCATCAGTTGTATCATGGTATTTTAGTAAATTCATTTGGATGTTTAAAGATATGTGTTAAATATTACATAACAGATTACACGAAGTAATATAGATATAAACAGTATAAAAACAAATGACAAAACTAAGAAGAATTACTTAATAAACTCCTTCTAAAGAATGAAAATTTCAATATTCAATATTACTGAAACAAAAAGAAGATAAATAAAAAGAAACAAAAGAGCACAACCACATGTTTTGATTCACCAAAAACAAAAACATTGTTTTTCATAACCAAATTACATTCCACTAAAAAGTAAATAAATAAATCAATAATTAGGCATAAGAATAATAGAATAAGGATAATTTCAGAAGAAAATGTTTCACAAAACATTTCCTTTCTTTCTTTTTTTCTCTTTTTTTTCTTTTCAATAAATTCTATTTAGGATATAAAAGGTGAAAAAAACGGAATATTTTCTTGTTCACAACCTTATTTATTGTAAGTTATCCTAAAAATAAACAACTTTTATTCAGTGTGTATATAATTATAAATTAATGGTAATATAAATTATGATTTTGTAAATATTCCATATAGAATAAAATGTATTTGTAGTTAGATATGAGCAGTTGAGTATTGGCAACAACACAATGATATTGAAAGTAGATCATTTATTATTTAATTGTATACAAAGATACAATTTCAATAGAACAAAAACAAACAAACAAATAAACCTTTATTTCATTTGAAAGAAATGAAATTAGAATTTTTGTAATGAGGAATTAATTTGTGTGCATACAACGTCTTTTTATATTGTTTATTTCTTCATTAATTTCCTGAGTAAACATTGACACTTTTTCTTTTCTTTTTCTTTTATAGAAAAAAAGAAAGGAAAACAACTTTATTACATAATATAACATACAATTTATATTTTCAATTAGAATTTTTTAATTCATGATCATTAGTTCTTTTGTTTAATTGATTTTTTAATTGATCTGATTTACGTAAAATTAGATCATTATCAATAATTTTTTCTTCAGTATATTGTTTTAATATATTTGATTGTTGATCAACTAATCGTTGATAAGGTGATAAATAATTATTCATATTATCTAATGAATTTGTCATATCATATTTATGTTTATTTTCATTAATTACAATGGTTTTTTCATTATTTATTATATCCAAATTTATCGATTTTTTAGTATCTAAGTTATTTACTTGTTTATTGATTTCTATTGTATCCATAAATTGATTATTATTATTATTATTATTATTATTAGGTAATTCAGTTGTTTTCATTTGATAATTATTTATTGTAATTGTTTCATTTTCAAAAAATGTTGAATTATAATTTTTTAATCGATATTCACGTAGAAATTCTACAACATTATATTCAGATGAACGTGGTATTAATAAACCAAATGCTGCACATAAATGTATAATTAAATAACATATAAAAAATATTCTATCCATAACAATGGCTATCATACGCCATTCTTTTATGATAATATTTTCTGTATCTTTTTTATCAATTCTTGATAAAAATAATTTAACAATTGAACGTATATCATTTACTTCATTCTCTATATTTTTCATTAATATTAATAATGTTGATGATAATTGTAAATGTTGTATTGTTGTTTTATCTGAATTCATATTTGTTATAGTTGAATTAGTAATTAATGGATTATTATTAGATAAATATGATGTAGTTTTAACTAATGTAGATGATTTTAATTGTAAATTTGTATGATTAGTAGTTAATTCATTAGAATTTAAATAATTACGTCCATGTGGTGATATAAGTGCAGGTCTACCATTACGATATTCATATCTAATATGTGAACATAATGAATTACTATCAAATGGTATAGATGAATTAGTTATTGAATGACGATTTATAGAAAAATAATCATTAGGATGTGTTTTAAACATTAATGCATTAAGATGTTGTTTACAAACATTACAATTTTCAGGATGTTTTCCATGTTTTGAACTTTGTATTCTTGGATTTAATATTCTTGAATTTGTGGAAGTATTTATAACTGATAATGGAGTGCAAACAGTACAATGAGTTGCTGGTGCATACGATCGATAATAATATTGACAACATGTACAAGGTTGTTGAGAATTACCTAATATATCACAATCATTAAATTTTGATGGAGTTAATGAACGACTGCGTATTTTTGATAATTTTGAATGACATTGACATGATCCCATGAGCTGTTGTGAATTTGATTCTTTATTAAAGTTATCCGCTTCAGTTTGTGTTTCACAATGACGCTGATTTGGTCGATATCGTTTATGTTCAGTAGTATCAGTATCATAATCATAATTATCTACAATTAAAGTTTTTAATCCATTATTCTCTTGTACCATAGCAAAACGTGCTTTACCCTTTTTAGAACGCTTCATTCCAATAACAGATCCAGTATAACCTGATATATCTTGTTGTTCGTTGTTTGAATTAACTAATGCTGACTTCATTTGTACCATTTGTGATGAATAATCGTTTTTATTTTGGTTGACTGTTGTAGAATTTGAATTACTGACAACAACATCCAAAGGTGTATTTTGATCACTTTCTTTACAGCTGCATTTACCATCACAAACACCATTCAGAATGTGGCATAACTAGAAAATGTATAAAAACAACATCCTCTCCCCAAAATCAGTCAGTTCACTAAAGTAAAATGTTTTATAAAAAAATATTCATAATTCTTCATTTTTCTGTATTTATTTGATTACTGTAGTAAATAGTTTTTCTCTCTCATTTTACCATACACATACAATGATTGTCCAACGTAACTACAAAATAAAATCCAACATTTTCAAACCTATCAAGCATACAGAACGAATTTGTTCTTTATGCCTAACTGACATTATCACTAAATGCTTGGTCAATTGAAAATTGATTGTTGACATGGCATAAGAATGCTAAACAACAAATGCCTTTATCTGATAACAAGTTATGTTGAACTTACAGATACTAATTTCAAATATTAATTAAATGTAAGCTAATCTTATTAAAATAAATTTTTCTCTATCGACTTTTATTATACACATTAAAGAATTGTATTTCCTTCATTAAAATCATTCTTCGATAAATTATATAATCATGAAAAGCTCTTTCCAATTACCGTAACATTAGTCATATAACTTATGCCCATTTCACACTACTAAACAGTCAATCAGTTATTTTTTTAAACACAGTACGACTTACCCTTCTCAAGCATTGTGGCACCCTATTTCTTTTATCACCACGGAAATACAGATTAATCACAAATACAGAGAGAAAAGAAGATAATGTGATCAAAATCATGTTCAAACAGTAGTAATAACCTGTAGAAAACAAAAATGATAGATGATTAGTCAAAATTCACCGATTTACACAGATTTTAAGGAGTTGCAGGTATTAAGCCTGATATATATTGTTAAATACATTGAATGCAGTATTATAAAGTCATAGAACAAACCACTGAGAATAACTTTGAAGTTATTCAATCATGAAAAATGAAGTTGAAAATAATTGTGGCAAAAACTAGTAGTATTCCTCAATTTATTAGTTCCATGGACAAATTATCCATCAAAAGAAAGTATATTTAATGTTAACTGAACAGTTTTAACTTTCAGATCGTTAAGTAGAAGCTTCTCATAAAACATAGTGTTGCTACTCATTTCGTAGCTGATGAAATCACGGGATAGAATACAATCAAATCGATTAATATCGGTGGTAATCGATTAAGAGAATTGTTAAGAATAACATCAAATTTTAGTTTCGTTTTTTTTCAGTGGAACATTGAGAAACAATAAGAGTTTACTACCAGTCAGCTTAAACTATCAAACTTAAATAATGGATTCCGATATTAAGTATCAACTAACAGAATGATAAGTAATATTTTCAATATATCACACTGTGGTACAGTGTTTTTGTATCAAAACCTTTAGATGTAGACGGATGATTTTTACTTTGTATCATTATTATTAGCTAACTGTTCGTTCTACAGAGAATGTATAATCTGAAAAGTACTATTTCCTCACAAAACGTTTATTAATATAAGGATTTACTAGAAAAAATACAACTTACCAATATAAGGAACACTGTTTGAGGCTTGTGGTGTAGAATCGGCCAGTAATAACAACAATAAAAAGAAGGCCACAAATATGTTCATTCCTTGAATATTTCAGCAAATACAACAAAGGTTATATTATTCAAAGGTTTTTTTCAAATTAAAAAAAGAATAAAAATGGTTACATTTCTTACGGAATGCGTTGAAAATCTGATTTATAGCGTCATTTATGATGATAAGAAAAATAAATGGACTTAGGTCTGTAAATAAATATTATACTGAGAATAAAGATTTCTCAACGCTGAAATTCTAATCTTGAACAAGGCCATATACTAACTATCATCAGTAATAGTTTACTTTAACCAATAATATAAAACATTCCAAAATGAACAGATGTAAACAAAGATGTCGAATCTTTACTACATAGTAAGTGAAAGCTAGATTGAAAGTAGGCAAGTTATTTCATTGAAGGATAGTATGAATCTAGTTACTACATTGAGAGGCTTACATACGAAGTACCAAGAACTTTCAATTGAGATAATGATATGCATCAATTATGGTTGAAACAAACAGTTCCTTTTGAAAGCATTAGCATTAACAATGACGCTGTATCAATGAGATGAATGCAACTGTGTATAGAATTTTAAATGTAGATTCTGAACAGTAGTCATTTTGCTTTTAGCAATGCAAAGATCTGACACTAGATTTTCATCTATTAGCCGATATCTAAACATGTGTGTATTGAAGTCCATAAATAAAACTGCTTATTCACAAATGTAAGTTGAGCGAAAAAACTGCATTTTTTGTGTGTGAAATCTTTCAGCTTGTAAATGATAAATATAATTCTAATATGATGACTAACAATTTCGTTTGACAGTTGAGTCTTAATCGATTGTAGTAGTCTATATAATGTTGTTTCCTCAATCGTCAGCAATGTCTTATATTGTTTGCAACGCGTTGTTATTTTATACATAAGCACACCATTCAGTAACATAAAAATGTATTTATCTAGCGAGTGATATTATCTTTGACCACTAACAATTTGAGGGCTTAAGTCAACAATACCGTTTTTGATGAGCTGCTATCACCCGGCTACATATCACTGCGTCAGAAAAAGGAAAAATTATTAGCTCACTGAACTTTGGTCTGAACACCTTGAAATCTCTAACAAATCGCAAAAATTCATACTTAAGGGTTGCAATTTAGACTTCATTTCTTAGCAGGTTCTTATTGTACAAAAAATATAAGAAAAGGAGCGTAGCCGAATTTTTTAAGTCGCTTGAACAATCAGCTATTTTAGATTTCAAACTTGATTTTCAATAGTTTTTAAATAAAATTTAATTTTTCAAAATATCACATTTCTGCCGGGTTTCGCATATAACTCCGAAAGATCTCACTGGCCTTATTCTGACTGTTTACTTGTGGTTTGTCCACCTCTGCATAAGATAAAGTATGTGATAAGGGAATAAACATTTTTACCATAAACAATTTACACTGAGCTTGCTTACCAAGAACCATCTTTGCAGGTGATTCTGGAGGTAACCAGAAAATGACAAGTGTCAATGATGCCAGTAACACACATGGTAGAACCAAAATGTATGAAAAGAATGCAGCATTCCTTCTTAGGCTGTAAAATATTTTTGTAATATCAACTCTTTTGAAACGGATTCATACAGATAACTCAATAAATAGAATTTAATAATGAATGATTTTTTTAAATTGTAAATTTACTATTCAGGTTGAATTAGTTATGAGGAAAACACGCTGGTTTATGTGCTTTAAATGTGAGTGATTTGGTTCGTGCGTATGATACATTTATCAGATAGAGGTACGACATTACATAAGGTGAGTACCCTGAAATAGATTCAGCCCATTTTACATACCTATGGTCTCGTAACATTTCAGTTTTTATTGCAAGTATTTGATCCGTGACTTTAATAGTAATGTATCTTTTAACATTTAAATTATTCTTTTCTGATAATGAAGAAATAATATCCACCGACTTATACACTTTACCTTGTTAATCACTTTAATATACTACCACTTCTACTACTACTATTACTACTATTGCTACTACTACTGCAGTTGTCTTTTCATCACGTTTTATATCGCTCACTGTCAAACTTTGAATGTAGAAATTTCTAAGGAAATAAGGGAAATCGATTTTATAGATCCCTAAATTCTAGGAAATTTTAATTAAATCTGATGAGGAACTATTTTCTTTTTTACATCCAAGATCTTCGTCAGTTTCATAATAATTAGGTATTCAAATAGGGATCATGAAACTGATGAAATTTATGTTTCCTAATGTTAAACATTAAAAAATTGTTTAAGGTAACATTTTAAAAACAAACTTGTTAGATATATTAAAATGTCTTTTATCATAATGAGGTGAATGAAATGAATATCACAATGAAATTTAGAAAGGTAAAATTTAGGTTTTCGTTGTATTACAAAAGATAACAAGGTATTACATGCTATCAGACATTTTTTATTCATATTATAGTTGTCATTGTAATACAAGTGTTATAAAACCAAGAAACGCAGGATCAGAAAACAATCTTAAAACTCATTTTTTTTCTTTGCATTTATACAAATCTAATCCTCAACATTTATCCCGGAGTATTATGGAACCTGAAGCTGTACTGGACTTTTCGGCTGCGATTTCTTCGTTTTAAAGAACTATGCCTATAACGAAAATCAAAGGAACTAGATCTCAGCATTGGTAGTTACGTGCGCATACGCTGCTTAATAGTCCAGAGGTACGAAAAATTTATCAATATACTGTTCCTTTGTGCTGTATATAATTTAAACAAATAAAACTGACCAATCAAGATAAACCTAGAAAAGTTACAATTTGTCAGGTTGTTCAATGTTCTGCAGAACTCTAATAACATTACGAATAATTTCATTTGAAACGACTAATCATCTGACAACACATTCACTGCTTACAGTCTCACCGTGCAGGGTTATGTTTATCTCATAAGACTTCCAATTAGTATTTTGTGCAGGGTTTAAAAATATAGACAATTATTATATCAAATATAATAAGAACTTACAATAGAAAGAAAGTTAAATCAGGATAAAATTCTGGACAACAAGGATATGATTTTACATTCCTTAAAGCTGGACGTGCAATTACTTCCCATTCATTACTTTCTGTATAATCACTTAACAGAACTTGTGCTTCATTATTAATAAAAGAAACATCTAATTTATTTCCATCATATGTCCAAGATCCAAATTTCAAATGACATGTTTGTTCATCAAATGGAAACGATTTTATATCTATTTTACATGAAGATTTAAAAATTGCAGGTGGAATCCAGGTTAATTCTCCAGTATGTTGTACGATAACCATAGCATCACGCATTTCTTTTAATCGTTCATCGGCGCTAGAATATAATGAAATGAAATAGAAAACCACATCAGTGAAAAGTGAATTATGTTTTGATAGATGTTTGAAATAAATGCAAGTGTTTTACTATTCCGAAGAACTCATTAACTGGATATAAATTATAAAATTTTTCCTAGTCAATGGTTATCGAACTCTGATTGCTTCTTTAAAATAAAATTCAAGTCTTTTTGAAGTCTCGTAAGTTTCGCCGAAATATTTAAATAGCATAGTTTGGATCCCAACTCCGTTTGGAGCCTCTTTGGCGCTACTGTCGTTCCAAAGCCCGGATAAAAGAGGAGGGTTTGGAATAGGGTTAACGACCCTATCCCGTAGAAAACTAACTCGCTAAAAACACACTAACCAGTAACTTTGGATCCCAGATCTTTGAAGCTAGTTATGAGTATCCTCATTTTAGATCATTTAGTGAAAATCAATTCATACAAATTTCCAAAATTCAACTCATTTTTTTGATAACTTGATAATCAGTCAGTATCGCTGATAATTTCTATGTTTTTGACGACATTATTGAATTCAAACAGTTACGTATGATCTGGAGAATCAAGTAAAATTTAAAATATAAACCATATGATATGAACTTTGTAGGTTAAAATAAGGTGGTGGTAACAAAGTTTGGATAATGTAAGTTCAATTCCGTCTGGTCATGTATATGCACTTATCATTTTATAGCTATTTAGTGTTTTTGGTCGCTTGTGAATATTTAGTTAACGTGACGTTAAATGTTTTAAAACTGGGTGAACCTTCAAAACTACTCAATTGACGGAAATATAAGTATACGATATTTGTTTTACAAATGCAACGAATATTTACCATGTATTATTATTCATAATTCATTACTCACTATAAAAACCTTATATACTGATCATTAAAATCCTGTTTAATATACTCTAGCAAACACACATTTGATGAATATTCTTCTTTCAATAATAAGGCATTATATGCACATTTTAGATCATTGTATGTATCCGATGATTTTTCGAAAAATATATCATATACACCACTGATCAAGAATTACTGATGAAGTAGTTACAGAGAAAGTGAAAGTTATATTTTTTACAGAATATGATTATTATAAAGATAAATGTAGGAAAATGATAATGTAGTGGTATAAAATCTGAAGGTTTTCATCCCCAAATTGTGTGATGTACAATCCACCAGTTATCTAAAATTAGTTATGTAGATGTGTCGGAATTAACATTTATTCTTCACATCACTGACGCGGCATCCAATTATTCAACATATCTAACTTCTACACGTACACTATTGAACTGCAGATATACATTCTAAAGATTAAACGCTCGATCCTTTGTGGGATCGTGAATACACACTTCTGAAGTGTCTTATATTAAATAGAAGCTGGTGTTCAATGCTTCCTAGGTTACGATAGTTATATAAACAACATTAGTCTGTGACCCCAATTGTGAATTTAATTAACTGTTTCTGAACAGGACCAACTAATCAATTTAACTTACTAGTTATATAATACAATATCTGGTGTCCAAATGTGCTTATATGGAACACGGACTTCTTGAATTTGTGAATAATTGTCTGGATTCCATTTCAGAATATGATCGGTCCAGCGCTGAAAATGTATAATAAGTAATCATGTATGTTTAAATTACATTCAAAGATATAAATGTTCAATATGACATTCATTTGCTTGAAAATCGATTATCTACAATCAGTTACAATTCTTTACAAAATTTGTAAATCAAGCAACTAAGCAATATGACATTCGACTGCATTGTATTTTGTGTAAGTTGTGTATAAATAACTAAAGAAAACCTAACTCTAAAATATTTTGCATATTTAGGACGTCAAAATTGGTTTCCATTTACTGGACAAATTGTTTCTTAATCATACATTTATATACTTCATTAGATGGATTCTTATCTTCTTTGTAGTAGATTAACTGACTTAAAAATTTAAGCGTGAGAATTTTAGACCATTAAATAATCATCATAAAGATGGAAAGGAGAAGTTGGTTTTAAAACTTATTTTTTTGTAAACCAGAGTTTTTGAAATGTCTTATGTATGAATGTTCACTAGGTATGTTTCTTGAGTGATCTTACTTTCCGAATATACATCTTAAATAATTATGTAAAAATGTTTCTACTATTTGAACTTATTCACCAAATGTGAACTTATTGTATTTCTAATGTTTTCCATTTATATTCACAACTTTTGAAAATAGCGTACTGTCCTTCATTGTCTTGTAATAACATTAAAGCAGGAGATGATGCTTTAATGTATTAATTAGTTATTTTAATATTGTGATTATAATCAATTTGAATAATTAAAAATGTTTTAATATTTAGCTGATAATTTGTTTCATGGACTTATGAATCCAAACGAAATATCGATAGTGTATTGATATAAATGAGCCATGGATAAATTTCCAGCAAGCTACCTAATCTCTTAGTGGTTATAGTTGAGTAATAGCTTAAAATGTACCACTTCACGATTTTGTCAACATTATTCCTAGATATATGAATTTCTATTGAAAAAAAATGTTCAGATCAGTATAAAGGTTTGATGTAAACGAAACCGTTACGATAGAATAGAAAACAAAATCTTGGAGTGTGCAAGTTATCTTCCAAGATTTAACATGATTTATATATCTTAACAAAGCGGTTAGTGGGCGGCCTGCTTGAGCATCTGGGCTACCTGTTCCTGCCATCTAGATATTTCAACAAGTTATCTATTGTTGTTTGTTTTAATATATCATTATGTTTATTAATCACATAACCTATTCTGCTGCGTTTCTGAAAAGTGTACAACCTTTCGTTGTCAAAGTTACAGAAAACTCAATAAGAGACAATATGGTTGCTGGCAATATACAACGAAAAGAATGTACATTATTCAGTTGTTCATTCACTGAAGTGCTAACATCTAACTGGCGATCCCTCAATATTTATCGCCAGAACCGACCAAGAAGAAAGAAACGGAAACTTGTTGAAATACTTTGCGCTGAGAATTCTATATTGTACCAAAATTATAATATTGAATAAAGCTAATAATAATAATAAAATAATAAAAAAATGGTCATAATTAAGTGCTGAACCTATTTACAACATGAGGTTATATTAAAAATAAAAATAAACAGTTGATAGATATATTTAAACAATATATACAGTTGAAATCCTTCTTTTTTCTTTGTTATCATTAGTCAAATTTTTCAGTCAAGTTGACCTGATACAAAGTACTAATGTCAATTATAATGAAGTCAAAAACTAGTTAGTAAAGTAATCAAACTAATTCAGTTTAATGATCTGAATAATTGAAGCTATTCCACCAATTTACTAACTAACAAAATATACTTTTTTGTTTGTCTAAATTATTTCTTGAAATAAACAGTTCACATCTTCAGAATTTGCAAACAAACAAACAAAAAAAAGACTTCTTTTTTCAAAATAACTTTTCTTCATTTTTGTCTTAACTCCTTTTATTTCGTTTAATTTATCAATAAACCATATAATTTGCCAACCAATATCTGTTGATCATTGAATCAATTAATCAACAATAATAAAACAAAAATCTATAGAAATGAATAATAAAATTTAGGTCAACTAAAACTTTATTTATTACTGTAAATAATAGAAAATGCAACTGTTTTTGTTAGTTGCATAACTCAAAAAAAAGTAATTCATTTATAATTTTAGCGCAATATTTAATTAATGAGTAAGTAAGAAGAGAATTCAGCGAAGAAAATTTTCTTTTCGACGAAATCATTTATAGAAGAGAAGTGTTTTAGTTTTCGATTCAATTCTTATTCTATTAAGTGTTGATTTGGATGATAGTGATAATAATAATAATAATAATAATAATAATAATAATAATAATGATTGTTGTTACCAGAAGAAGTATTTAATAAAACAGAGAATAAAACAATTTAATCAATAAAAGAAAAAAAGAAAGAAAGAAAACAATCGAATACAAAGTGACCGAAATCTCACTTATTTTGTTTATTTTTGTTGTCATTTGTTGACTGATTGAATTAATGATATACTGGATGGAATGATCAATAAATTTATCAATGATTCACTATAGAAGAATTCTATATATCCATGTATATATCTTAGTTATTTATAACAGATAAAGAAATATAAACAAGTGAAAATGAAAATGACACATTATTACATAATTTAAGTGAATACATTCTTAATCTTTACAATAGAAACATAATAGGAAAGTGATTTATGAAAATATATTATAGAAACTAAACGATTAGGGTGTAATATTCTGTTAATCTTCGATAAGTTATTATTAAAATTTAAAGTATTATAGTAGTTTCAACTATAATTTGTTAAGTTTGAAGATAATTATTCATTATATACTTGAATCAATTAGAAAAATGATTGAAGATTGTAAAGGAACTAAAAAGTTATTGAGTTCTGTTTTTCCACTTCTTAACAGTGTACAAACATAACTGTTGACATATGCTCTGGTTGATGTGGTCTATTAAGATCATTTTCTTCAACAGTAGAATTAATTGTTTAATGGTAAAAAGGTGATGAAATTGTAGTGTCGGTTATTATGTTATGCCCATATACCTTATTCTAGCTTTCGGATAGTCCAATCTATTCATTGTACTTGAATCACATTTTGACCTTGTTAATTATCCGCTTGTCAATCTTGACTGTTTTTATATGAGCGCATATGTGTGTGTACTCTACTTACTCCATTGCTCATCACATGTCTCTAACTTATTTTCTTGTGACTATAAATATTGAGTAACGCTTGACTAAAGGGAAGTTGGCTTACCCGCCATCTCCACTGCCCGTCGTTTCTCTTCTTTCTATTCCATTCGCTTTATATACAAAAGCTATGTATTCACAAGTCCATTCTCGTTATTTGACTTATTTGATTCCGTTATTGACTAACGCGATTTAAGTCAATGATTATATACGAAGATAGGTGATAACAAACATTCATACGATATACTTGGAGTCAGATCCACGGTCGCTAAAGTGGAGAGCCCTTTCGATGACATCGTCCGATCTAAATGACGACAAAATAAAGGGCCCCACAAAATATATATGATATTAGATAACACCGCTGGATGACGAATCATTGGTCTAGAGGTTGAGCTATGGTTCTGAGTCCGAATTCTACGAGTGGGATCGTGGATTCTCACTGCTGAAGAGTCACATACTAAGATGATACGAACGTCCAGTACTTCGAGGTTTTCCATGGTGGTCTAACATCAATGGGTTCATGATCTCAACCAAAAACTTAACAATCTCCACAACCCCTAAACTGATGATTTCAATTGTGTTTGGAGGCATTATTTTGGTTATCTTAAACTAAGATTTTGTGTTTGTTAACGTTTATCAATGAAACACATTTGCAATTTTGGATTAACGTTTGCTACTGATGGAATTTGAACACGCGCTGACTATTTTGGTAGTTATAGATCATTTATGAGCATTTAAGGCCTATATTAGATCATTCTCTACCTGAATAGATCAGTGATAATGTTTAAAAGATGAAAAATATATCTAATTTATACGTGTGAGGAAATTCATGTTAATTATACTAAGTACATCATATCAAACAAATTGCACCACAGTGTTGGGTCACTTGGATCGGCAGTAACATTCTTACTTAATCACAATAAATCGTCCATAACTAAGAATTAAACAACATGACATTGATTAATAAGTAAACATACAATGAAAACTTCATGTTCTTCAAGAGAATATTACAAAATGTATTTGGAACATAAAACCAGTTGTCAAACAATCTACACTAAACTACTGATATCATCACTCATGTTTAATTTAAAAATAAGGCATGAATAAATGAAAATATAAAGAAACATATCAGCACGTTTAATTATGTCTATGAATAAAACTACAAAAAAAACAATTGACATTTTAATTATTTAGAATAATTAAGAAATTCGACAACTACAATAAAGATAATCACAAGTGAAACTTAATGATTATATTACTTCACATATATCGTGACTTTATATGTACTCATATATGGTGATTAAAAGACTTATTATACAGTAAAGTGTTGCTTTTGTTATTATAGGTCACAGTGAAAATATGAATAAGAGTTTAGATCAAGAGGTAGAGTTGATAAACAGTAAACCATTGTTTATGAATGCAAAAGTTTAATTTAATTCAAGTTCATCACTGTATAATTAATCACTTCTATTTAATCATTGCTTAATTATTTACTTAACTATACAGAAGAAAAAAAAGAGATTGTTTATTTGTTATTAAAGGGATAGTGTTTATTTATAATAATTAACCATAGTTTTTATATATTGGAAAGTTATGTTTATCATTGACTTATCACTTTGTTAAACTAGATTTCACTTTCTCACATGTATTTATCTCACATATATGTCCCAATGTGATGTTATATACCTGCTGGTAAGTAAAATTAGTTTATAACTCTGAAAGAAAAAAAAGTAAATTGCAAATTAGTTGCTCAATATTAACGCGATGATCATTAAATTTAGAAGTTCTGTTTTATCTCCGGATAAATCTATTGTGTGCTTAGTAAAGAACTAACTGTCCTGTGGTCCAAATTCATCAGAGAATTATTTACTGTTATTGTTTTATA